TGGTAGTACGGAGGGTATTTATTTAGCACTGCAGAATAATAAAATTTTTATTTATAAAAACTTGTATTTAAACTGAATGCTTTTCTAATTTGCGAAACCAAATAGCCGCCATTTTGCGGTAGGAGAAGCGCATCGCGTGAGCGGTTAGGCCTACTCTCAAAGAAGCATCATTATAGTTGTTCCAGTATCCTTTGGAGATCGTCGAAACTTGCAAATAGCACGAGATCGTCCGCGAACCTTAGGTGAGACAAATGGTGTTACACCATTGATGTTAATGTGGCGGTTATCCCATTTAAGGGTCTTACGACATCCTCAAGTCCTCGCCGGATTGGAACGGGATTGGTTAAGTCGTGAACTCGTACCTGCAGAGTGGCTGAACGGTAGAGCTCCCGAGGCACATCCACGTAGCGCGAATCGATGTGGCAGCGATGAAGAGCGTGGAATACGGCCCAATGTTTGATACTGTCAAAGGCCTTTTCATAATCGACGAAGGCCATGACAAGGGGCCGGTTAAATTCGAGACATTTCCCCATCAGCTGATTAACCGTGTGGATATGGTCTATGGTTGAGAAGCCGCTCCGAAAGCCAGCCTGCTCAATAGGCTGCGCTTCGTCAAGTTCACTGGTAAACCAGATGGTCAAAATCTTTGTAAATAGTTTCTAAATCTGAGAGAGCAAGCTAGTCGGCCGATAATTGCTAAGTTTGGCAATGTCGCCTTTTTTGTGGATGATGGCGACGATGGCATTCTTCCATTGCTCTGGTGTTCGAGCTTCATGAAGAACTTTGTTGAAAAGTTTCACAAGTACTTTCACCACAGGATTTCCTCCTGCTTTGAGTAGTTGGACTGAAACACCATCATCTCATCATCATCAGATGATGGTGTTGATAAGGCACTGAGTACGAATTTAGAGTTATTACTTTTTCTTCAAATAACCTGAAGAAAATTAATGTTTCTAAGAAAAGGCTTCATATACTAAAGAATGAGCCAGTCTTTTTGAACAATTTCGTAATGTACACGTTTAATTTGAATATTATTACCGGTCGCTTTTAACGCGAGATGATCGAATCAATGTCAGTAATGTCATTCCCAAACGACACTGATTGGTCTGTAGTTGTCGTTAAAAATCCTCCAACTCCATCCGGGGCACCCGCGATTATTGCGAGTGTGGCCATGGCAAGGGTGCCCAGGAGTTGAAGGATTATTAAATAGAACTGCAGATCAAAGTGTCATTTGGGAACAACATTACTGATATTGATTCGTTTATCTGGCATTGAAACCTGCCATTGATAATATTAAAATTAAACCTGTAAAAAATTACGAAATTGTAGAAAAAGACTAGCCTTTTCCTGGTAACATGAATTTTCTTCTGGTTGTAAATAAATTTTAATGAATGTCAAGATGTTTCAGCACTATTATATTCAATTATTTTTTGTGAAATTACTCCACCAGTTAGTTATAATTCTACCAAGTGTTATTTCTTCAGGTTATTTGGAAAAAGTAACAACTCTAAATTAGCATTCTGTGCCTTATTTTGCATCAAACATCAATGTCTCGATAAACCCAGCGCATGTCCTTATGGTAAACATTTGAGTTTCTACAATTCATCTTCAGAAAACATTCCTAGAGATAGCGTAGTGTCGTAGTTATTCAACTGCCTATGAAAACAACAATGAACTAAATTTTCCTGTTTGACGTTCTCAACAAAGTCATTTAATCAATGATATCACTGTTAATTTAAGTAAAATACAAATTTAAAAGATCGCTAAGGTACAAATAGATCAAAAAGCAATTAAGTAATTTTCGGTTATCTGAAAAATTATGAATAACACTATCTTTCTCAAGTTTATTGGGACAAATAAACCACAATGCTTAAAAACAATTTTCGAAAGTGAACGTTATATTCAAAAATATCACAACAATTTAAAATGTGGTGGCGTTTTTAAGTTAAGGTGGTAACACAAACGCCACCAAAACCACCAAATTTGAGCCACGTAAGATGAAATCTCAAAAAATAAATTACTCTCACAAAGTCTCTACATCTCAAAAAGTAAAGGCTTAAATATCAAACCGAGACGACCAAATTGTGATAAAATAATGACAAAATTAGTTTCTTAATTTGGTTTCAGAATACGACCTTAGGATAAAACAAAAATTGAGCCCAAATGGAGCCAGGAAAGCTGGATATTTTTTGTCCCACGTGCCACAAAGGGCATATAATTACTTTTTTCGCGGGAAATGGCACACAGTGCCTATGTTTTTCGCTGCCAGGTCCTAATACACGACTGAGGCTTGCGCGGGGCAAGAGCGTAATGGTTTTTAGCTAAACTACTTACCAGTTGCAACCAGTTGAATATTTGCCACCAAAACTACAATTTTCGCGTGGACAAAGTTTGACCAAGTACCCAGTCTTCCACGTACTGGTAACTGCAATACTTTCAATGATTTTAGTTAGTGCTTCTAATAGTGAATAACATACATGGAATTGTTTTTCTTAAAAGCGTACACATTTTACGAGAGCGACTATTTTATACAATGAAACGTAAAGTGGACACACGAGCAAAATTGAAAATCGGGACATTAATATTTTTTATTAATTATTATTGTACAATGAATTTTCCGAAATTCTTGCCCTAAACTCATTTTACGTCTCATTAAACTATAAAAAATAAATCATTAATATTTCTTCACTTTACACCTGGTTTCTCAGCCTGGACTCGTAAAATTTACGCGTGAGATATTCACCCTATTGTGTGGGAACGTCGGCAATATTCACTTGCACTGAAACAGATGCGCAGGCACAGAATAAACTTGTCAAGGAACTTTTGCGTCGAAGAAATCCTCCGCATTTTTATTCGAAACATTAGTAAGACGTACTTTTGAAATACTTAACTATTGAAAATAAGAACAATATTTTGTATTAATCGCCGGGACGACATTCGTTAATCAATCATCGTAATGTCTTTTAAATCATCTGTTCCTCGTTTATCTAAACCAGTGTCGCTGCGCGTCATGGTGTAGGGTGAAGTTATCCGTTGATGGCGGAATATTCCATATAAATTCCTTCAAATACCACGGGCATTATTATATATATTTATTTATAAACAACATTAGTTTGCTACCTTGTCGAGTACCATTACTTAGTTATTTATCTATGCCATCATTTATGTCGAGAAGGTAGAGAGTTCATTAGAATTGGAGTAATTTAATTTAAATTATTAAATTAAACGATAGAACATAATACACATACTACAACCAATTTTCACTCGTAAATAGCGAGAAAGTTTCTGAAGTACTACGAGTTCGTAGACAGTGTATTTGCCTGTGGAGAAACGTTGTTTGTCAGACTGTGACAAGTTTAGCTTATTGAAGGCCGGTTTTTCCGGCAACATTGAAGCGAGACGGCGGCGGTGCGGCGGGGTTTCGTGCAGGCTCCGCGAAACACCGACGATAGGCGTCCTCGTGACCTTCACAAATTTATTATACTTAATGATAGAGAATTTGGTGACAATTTAAAGTCTTTTTTAAAATTTTCACCTACAAAACTTCGCACTGATTGTACTGTTTGGAGATCCGTCCGACTCGGCGGCGAGCTGCTGGTTGTCTCGATCCCTCCGTAACGTGGTTACCACCACTAACTATTGAAATTTGCGCGGCGTTCAGTTAAAGTGTGTGTGTTATAGAACAAACAGAAAGAAGGGCGTGATTTCCGAGATGGTAGTTTGATGTATAAGAAAATATCAAGTCTGGGATGAGTAGTGCCTAGTACAGAGCGACCTAGAAAGGTTAACACCACATCTCCATACACATTGACGTGTGTATACTGCTGCGTTGCACTGGATCGCATTTGCTGTTGTCTGTACATCATCACTCGTAAATGGGTTGCTTATAAGTTAAACCAGTGAACACACTGACATACTTACATACCTTCTGGTTCATTAGTACAGTGACGCCGTTACACTGATTCACTGGTAATACAAACACTCCTCCTTTAATTACGTTTAAGTACTTATTGTATAAGTTGCCACGAGAATATGCGGTTATTTAAATCACTTTCGCTTATCACAATTAGAATTTAATCAGGAAATTGGGAGTTTGTATCTTTGTCTCTGGCATTAACTTATTCCCCTTAATGTAACTTTACTGATGCGACCTTCTTAGTTACTTGACAGAAAGACATAATATCTAATTTCTATTATTTGCAATGTATCTTTTATTTTGTTGATTAAACCTTGTAAGGTTTGTCTCATTTCAATTTAATCAACAAAGTAAGTATTAATCTTTTCACGTAATAGCATGGAGCTCAGTCGGGAAAGCATCGCCCCGCAATAGGAAAACCCTGTATCGCGGGTGCCATGGATACACACATAGACAATCACAAATTACACTCAAAGTCATGGGAGTAATAATTGGTGGCCATACAAATCTTACTCCCGGCCCGGGAATCGAACCTGGGACCTTTGCGTGGCAGACCAGCAAGGTTACCATTCGGCCACGGAGGCAGGTGTTAAATATTAAGTAATAATTAAATGTATTAATTAGTATTATAAATCGTGCCAATGAGAGTCATAAAATCAAATTTATAGCATAAAAAAGTAGTTAAAACAAAATAGTTATACCGGAATAAATGGAAATCACAATACATTTAAAATAAACTTTTTAATTAATTTCATGGATACTTCATAATCAATTTACTCGGTTATATCGATACATATAATAAGATCGTAAAGAAGTCGTGTCTGTAATTTTGATATTTTCAAATGTCTGCATCTGCAATGCATTAATTACCGATGACTGTACCTACTTCCAATATTGTGTATAGCGAAGCATTACTAGCGCTAGTGGATAAAACAATTTCTAAAGTAAACAGACAGACCTCAGCAACGATTGTAAACGGGTTGATAATATAAAAAAAAACATCCAAAACGCTCCAGTGACCAGTGACCAGCGATAAGTGATAAAATTTCGCTAGCGTCATTTTTACATAAATGTCCTTCCGGTTCTAATGGCCGTTATCATCGTCAAGTAGCAAGAAATCAGCGAGCCGCTCGCCGAGCGCGATGGCGACGGCGGCGGTGTTGCCGCGCGGTGTCCGGCGGAGAACGCTCAAGTCAGCGACACGCAGACGCGACACGCCGCGCACACGCAGCCGCGCGTCCAGCACACGCCCCAGAGCCGTCGTGCCCGTCGAGTGGAATACCGAGAAAGTCAAATGGCGCACATAGCATCGCCAGTACGCCGCGGCTCCCGCCTCATATGGCGGACATCCGTCCAGCTTTAGGTGCAGCAGGCGCGCGCCTCGCTGCCCATACGCTTTCGTCTCCATGAGGTGCTCGAGGACCGTAATTCCTCGTAACATTTCGTCCACGTCACGCTCGTCGGACAAAAAGTTCGGGAAGATAGCGGGATAGGCAAGAGGGTCGGCACTTGCGAGACGCACGTTGCCGCGCGACGCTGGATCCAGCACTACCGGCGAGATGATGAGTATCGCGCTCTGCGCATTCACCGTCGCTAATTGCTGAATTAATTGGTCGTTAAGGCGGATGGACCGCTTAAAAATCGCCTTGGCGGAAGCCAGTATGCCGCGCTCCACGTAGGCATTGATTAGCTGCATTGTGGGCACTTCACATTCGGGGCTATCATTGCGAAGCGCACGAGTTCCGTTGTCGTAACAAAAAGTATTCATGAAAATCGAGATGTCGGTGAGGCCGTTGGAGGCGAAGGGCCCACTGCGAGTTGTCATATACTGCGCGACTTGCACCGGCGCTGCGGTCAATGCCGCCGTCGCTTTTAGGAGGTTGCGATCTACCTTTACGAATATTAGTGGCAGCACATGGTCGCTGAGGTCGTCGCCAACTGGCAGATCGGCCCGCACCGGTATACCCAGAGACTGCAGGTGGTCAAAAGGACCGATGCCTGACAACATTAGGATCTGCGGCGTCCCGATTGCCCCTGCGCTGAGGATCACCTCCTTTCGCGCGAACAAATTGATTGATTGATTTGTTCCTATGCTCTCGCGAACGATAGTGACCCCTCTAGCGACGTTGTTGTCATCGATGATTACTCCAGTGCACCGCGTGAATTTTGCGACCTTGAGCACTTTTTTAACGTCGTCGCGCGAGAGGTATCCGCGAGCGGTACTCATGCGCTCGCCGGCGAACGTGTACCCGATGAGACGCGAAATGCCGATTTGTGACTCAGCATTCACATCGACGTTGAAAGGAAATTTCAGTTCTTCGAAACCATTTATGATTCGTTTATGCCACTTGTTTTGTGGATCCTCAAAAAACTGCGTCTTCATGGTACCAGTGGCGTTGTGGTAGGGTGCGCTGGAACGAGGCAACGTCGCTTGAAGCCCCTCGTAACGCAGAAAGTATGGACGTAGATGTTGCCAGCTCCAATCAGGCGCATCATTGTAGTCTGCGCGATTACCACGCACGTAAAGCATGTAGTTGATAGAAGTAGAGCCGCCGAGAGCGCGCCCTCGACTGAAACGGCAGTACTTGTCCTCGGAGCCCAAACACGACACGCCGTTTGAAAGTGTGGGGTACTGCCAGTCATCTTTCGAGCCCAGTAGACCCATTGACGCCATCGGTATCTGCAAATTGTGAAAAAGAATAGCTTAAAACTACAATACAATATTATAAACTTTAGACTACAACAAATACAACATCAGATATGAACACAGTAATGTAATTTGCTTACAAATGCACGTATTAAATTCGCAATAATAATAATAATTATAATAATAATAAATGCGTGTCGCGGCACGGGCAAACGAGACTTGCTCAGTTTTTGGCCACGGACAGAAAATCCGACCTGTAGCGGTGGTTTTCAGCAAACCCAATACGAATGAAGCTCAGACTCAAGTACAAACAACATATTTAACGTGTTTGTTAACTTTCACACGAAAGGTATATGGTATGTGCTGAAATAAGGTATAAAGTGCAAACTAATTTAATTACTTAATAATATACATTTACATGTTTTATAAAGATGTACATATTGAGTGCATTAATAAATATTGTCTACTTTGTATTGTGACGTCGATCGTTCGTAGTCTTTCAGCCATTTACCGCTAGATAGCAGCACATTGAATGAAATTTCAAATATATAAATCGAAACAAAAAAGTAACGCTTACATAGCCAAACTAGCAGTAGCTGAGAGAATTGAACAGAACGACCTGACCTTAGTGATTGGCGAGGGGTCGCCCCCGGCCTCGATGAGTAGCGTGCTGTGTCCGGCGAGTGCGAGTCGCGCGGCTACTGCGCTACCCGCTGCGCCAGCGCCTACTACGATGTAGTCGAACTCCTCGGCATCTGATCGCACACATTTGAACGCCTATTAGCATATCGTTTTTTCTAATTTGCAGTTGGCGAATATTTAGTTAAAGCTTGGTTTATACCTTGGACTTTATACCCGAGAGGTAGTTCACGTAGCGCGGACGCGAAGTTCTTGATGTCGTCCACGAGGTACGGCAGCAGGTACCCGCCGGCGAAGCCCGCTAGAGCCACACACACCACTAGCGCCCTTCGAAACAGATACCTACTGTATCATTATTTACAAGTCGCAGGTTTTTTTAGGTCACGGGACAAATGTAAACTAGGTAATTAGTACGCCCGAAATCAAACAAGTTTACTTATGAGACCCCTGCTCAAATGGCTGAGAAAAAAATTGACTGATCTTACATTTAAAACATGTCTGAAAATGCAAACAAATTCACTTCCGTGTCAACAAAATATTTTGTTGACGAATATTCAACAATGTAAGCTATATGGAACATGCCCTTCACTGCAATGCCCTTACAGGGTATCATACAATAAGGACCTATTATGTTATTTAAGACCTTTGTAAACTTGAAATGGAGCAATAAATTGAATTGAATTGAATTAACTAGCCCAACAAACTTCTGCCAAAAGAATACACCATATTATTATTTAATGATTATTCTAATAAATTTTTTGGACAAACGTCTGCAGTAAGATATTTACCAATAAAGTCATCGTACCAATGAAAAAAGGTGAAACCGTGTTCGAAATAATGAAATTCGAAAAAAGAAATTCGTGTCTGTGACAGGTTACCGAAAAACAGCTAACTAAGATGGCGTAGCTATGTAAGCGTACCCTCAATACAAAAAAATATTTTTATTTCTTTTTTATAACAAAATCTAACAAAGCACAGAATGGTAGCATCTACGCGTTACTAGAAGTACTACAAGTAGGTACTAAATAATCTTCAATATCTAATCTCAAGGTAGGTAGGTGAAATCTTACGTATAATAAATGCCAGAATGTATGTGTATTATAAATATCGACTTCATAGGTTTTCGCGATTGTTACACATAGGAAATAAAATTATTTTTCCGGATTTAAATCGCGTATATTTGTTTTTTCAAATCAACCAGCGCTTCGGGCCCTTTACATGTCCCATGGTCACGATTGATTGAGGTGGTACAGTCATCATCCAGTTGTATTTAATATTAATGCAAACCGCCCTATTTTTTCACTATAGTTACAAAAGTTATTAATTAAATACCTTATAGTTAATTTTACAAAAATATTCCAATTTGCACTACATAATATATTTTACAAATTATTTTATTTAAACAATATGAATTTTTATTAAATTAAATTAATTATTCATTAATAATGGAAATTAGAATAAACAAAACATATTAATTAGTACTGTAGTCTTATGTCTGTTTGGGATTTTTCATCAGAGGAAATACTAGATCCCAAACTGGTGGTATGAAGAAACCATCTTCCCTGTTGAAATTATTGATGAATTTTTATTTAATTTCAATGGCCTCTTGCAGCATCCTGCGCAGAGAGAGAAGGACTTCTTTTGCAAGGACCTGGGGTTTGTCAAACTTCATCGAAAGTGTAGATTATGTGGTAAGTGGTGTAGGTTTATCCATGACATGCTCGCAGACGCGACGGTGTTTGACATCAGCTATAATTACGTTCTTGACGCGAGTACAATTACTTCGCTTCGTTTGTCCAAAATAAGAGAGACCGCACTCATAGTCAAGCTTGTGAACTCCTACATCCGGTAAGGGGATCTTACATTTCACGGATCCCAGGAACTGAGAAATCTTCCTCAGGGGCTTGAAATAGGTCTTGATAGACACACGCCTGAGGATTCTTCCGGTTTTGTCTGTAACACCTCTTACGTAAGGTAAAATGACATGTCTTCGCTCGCCTGTTGGTGGTCACACGGCGTCTGTGACATTGGCGTGGAATCTTCAAGTTTTCCTGTTACTGAAAAGGGCCCGAAATGTCGGTTTATTTGAAAAAATAGATATACGCGATTTAAATCCGGAAAAATAGGTCCATTTCCTATATAAGTACTATAAATGTTATAATATCGTATTTATCCAGATCTTTAGTAAATTTACGGACATTACATTGAAACTGCGAGCAAAATTCATATTGGTACACCTGGTTTGTTTTTGAAAGTTGAAATAGACATTAAAAGCATTTCAAAATAATTTGAAGTCCAAAAATTGTTTACTGCTGTAAAAGTAATGTGTCATAAGCTATTTTGGGACATTACTTTTACAGCAATAAACCATTTTAAAAGTTGGTCGTTGTAGCAATGTGATTCTTTTTGGTAATGTTTTAGTAAAAAAGCTACCTCCAACCTACATGACGCAAACCGTCCGAACACTTATTTTAAGCCCCGAAGGCTGTTAAGCGTCGCTTTTGTTTCGCCTTTACAATTAATAGTTGTATCGTTGGACACATGGAGCGTCGTTAATGTAATGAAGCGACAGCTGAACTAGTGCGTCTAATTTGGGAGTTCTGGCATAATTTCTTTTAAATAGTGATCGGAAGGGATATTTCTCAAGTATAGTTCTGTTTTTAGTAATTACACTTAACTCTGAATATTGTAGATACATAAATCGATATGTAGATATCCATTTAAAAATGGTAGATAAACTTAGAAGTAATGTGGGCAAAGTGGGCTTATCCCTAAGACCGATCTCTTCGCTTGAGGGAAAGGAAAACTAAACAGAGGGAGAGACATAGTGTCCCAATGGTAAAAATTTTAATGCATTAACAAAAACACCTATTATTATCAACTAAAACAGAAATATTAATACTACATTATAATACCTAAATTGTATTTGTTTCTTTCAGCCGCTTTCTGTCAAATCAAGAGCTATTCCCCTGACAGCACATATTTCAAGCACTTACGTTGGAATAATTTTACCCAAATTTTATTTTATTTTTATTTTTATTTATTATATCCCGAAGGATTTTAGTTTTATTGGCAGTAGAGCTCCTTTCGAGAGAGAGTTCGTCCAGGGAAGTACTGCCACCTTACCTATTTCTGGCGACAAGCAGTACTGTAAGCACTACTGCGTTCCGGTTTCGAAAAGTAAGGGTGCTGGTAACATTACAGGCACATGGGACTTGTCAACTTATGTCTCAGATGTTTGCGATTTCAAGCTCTGAGTGGATTGCAACTACTACGGACAGGCGTGTCGCTTAACACCAGGCGCACGACAGGTTCACCCGTCAATTGCTACCGTAGAAAAAGAATTGATGTAATCTCTTACAGAAGACGCTCATGCATTTTATTCTGACGCAAAAAATCGTAAAACACGCAAGATTGAGATGTAGAACTATTTTTTCGAAATCCAAATTTGTAGCAGCATACAAATTCGTTTTTCTAGAAATGTATAATGAAATGAAATTTTTTGTTTGAAATATGGTTTACAAAAGATGGTACACATGGTATATAATAATGGGACAGTCCTCACATTTCACCAAAATTGGCATGCAAATAATATAATTATGGTCATCTATATTTTATAATTTAACAATTTTAAACATTCCCTATAGTACTAAATAATTTTTATGTCTTTGGTCAAAACAAATTAAATTAATTTATATTAAGTAGTCAAATTTGTATGAAAATAAGTCTTTACTGGAGTAGAAATTTTTGTCTCTTAGCCATGACATTTTAGCTTTGAACATAAGATTATTCTTTATCAATTTTATGTCTAACGGTAAGGCGTTATATATCTTTACACACATAGCCCCGCATTGTTTCCGGTTACAACTTAATTTGCTAGTACTATTATACACGAAGAAGAAACGTAAGAAGAAGAAACGTAAGAAACCAAGACAGGCTACTGTCTTGGTTTCTTACGTTTGTACTATGAATATCCCGAGTCTTTTTAAAGAGTTTACTATTGTACTTTACAAATTTTGACCCTTCAAAAATATACATACTCGGCAGCGGTGAGATGTTAAGCGATTTAAATAAATGTGTACATAATTGTCGGGGTCCTAAACAGCACATTGCCCTTACGCATTTTTTGTGCTACAAATAATTTATTTACACCTGTTGAATTCCCCACACAATCAGCCCATATTGAAGTAAAGATGCTACGTAGCCATGAAATGCCTCTAAAGTCGTAGATATAGTTGAAGTATTACGTAATCGATGCAGGTTTCTTACTGTATCAATGTGAAGTTTCCACTCAAACTTATCGTCAATCGTTACACCTAAAAACTTTGTGTGTTCTACTTCTTGTACGATTTGTCGTTTGTAGTTAATTTTCGGGTATTTAACTTATTGTGTCTTATAGTCCCAAATAGAATGAAGTTTGTTTTACTAAAGTTCAACGTCAAGTTATTATTGTTGAGCCAATTAACCACTAATGCAAATGTATTATTTTTGTCCGATTCGTAGTTTACTATATTGTCTTTATATGGTATCGTTATAGAAATGTCATCTGCAAATAATACACGTCTGGGTTGTGTTATGGCAGATAGGTCGTTAATGTAGAGTAGGAATAAAATTGGCCCAAGTACGCTACCTTAGGGCACACCACATGCATTTAATTGATATAGCGATTTATTTGTAACTACGTGACAATGACTATCTAGGGATCTTATTTCCACCATTTGACTCCTATTACTTGAATATGAGGTTAACCAGTCAAATGCTAGCCCTCTAATTCCAAGATTATCCAGCTTTTGGAGAAGCAAGTCATGAGACACGAAATCAAAAGCGTGAGTCATATCAAAAAATATACCAGTTATATGTTTACCTTAATTTACGTTTTCGACTATTTCCTGCACTAAGTGGAAAACTGCCAACGATGTAGACTTATTTTGTTGAAATCCAAATTGTTCTGACTTTATTATGTTGTTTTTGGAAGCAAAATCTAGCAGCTTTATTTTCATTGCTTTCTCAAAAATTTGTGAAAGAACTGAAACTAATGTGATGGGACGGTAATTGGTCATGTCAGTTTTCGTGCCCTTTTTGTGGAGGGGCTTAACAATTGATATTTTAGGTAGTTCGGGAAAAGTACCATTTTAGAACGAAAGATTAATTAAATAAATAAGCGGCGCACTTAACTCATTAGCACAATATTTTATAACTTTGGTAGATATGTCATCGTACCCTGTTGAGTTTGTATCGCTCAATGATCTTACTATATTCTATATTTCCGTTGCTTGCACGGGCTGTAAGTGAATACTATTTGCCAAATGTTATTTGTTCGTGTTTTTAGTTACTTTTTATATGAATTTGTTAAGTTAATTGAATAATTGTTTAATTCGTTCGCTATAGAGATAGGATCTTTTATGATAGTATTATTTACAATGATTAATTTCTTTATAAACTGGTCACTATTAAGCGCATTAAGTTCTTTTTTAATGATTTTCCAAGAAGTTTTTGCTTTGTATTTTGCGTTTCTCAATCATCATTGTGCAACTTTTGAGCCAGGTTTAAACTTTTGCGCAGAATTTTGGAGTATGACCTATATTTTTGTTTTTTAACTTTTGATTTTTCGGTGTAGTATTGGTACCGCAGTATTCTTTTTGTTTTACAACTTTTCCTGATACCTTTGGTAATCATCTTGGTTTCTTATATTTATTGAATATTTTAATTTTTTTTTTTTTATTGAATATTTTAATTATTTTTTCCTGCCGCTTTTAAATAAGGGAATAACCTTGCTGTATTTCATTAAATCGGGAAAAACACCTTAGTCAGCGCATCTATTGAAAGCTATAAATCCTATCAACGCACCTATTGAAAGCTATAGGTCAATAACTGAGTCCATAACTTTAGTTGATATGCCCCAGAGATATTCAGTTCTTTTAACATGTATTGATTTAAAAGCTTTTATGATGTCTTGTGGATTAACATGACAAAAATTAAATAAACTGCCTCAAATGTTAACATTTTCCTTTAGGAGATCAATAGCAAGAGAAGGGGAGGAATTTAATGATTCTGTCGTGTTCACAGCAATTTCCGAAAAGAACGATTCAAAAGCTTGTGCTACCTTGTCCTTAGATTTTATAAGTTTGCTGTCTAATTCTAAAACTATATCTCTATCCTGTTGTTTAACCCTGGCTGACTCTTTATTTGTTATGCTCCGAGTAGTTTTAGATTTATTTCTCGATTGTCTAATTTTATCGCTGTAAAAATTAACCTTAGCAGGCTACACATGGTTTTTTAAATATTTTTGAATAATTTCTAACAAATTTTATGAAATTGGAATTAGTATTATAAGTTTTCATAGCATATAGCTCATACAAACGAGACCTACTCTTATGAGTACCTACTGTTGCCCAGTCGTTGAATTTAGTCTCTCTATGGAAAGTTAATGTTTTCGATGTAAATACATTATCAAATTCATTTTTAATTAAACCAAATATCGTGCTATATAAAGTATTTGGAACCTCCGGTACGTGGGGTAGGGAATTTAAACTATTGCCGATATTATTTTGAAATCTAATGATTCGTTCTGTGGTAATCGGTCTGTAAAGAAATTGGTCTACCTTCTTGCTCATTTTACAATTAAAAGAAGCCAATTGGCCACTATGGTCTGATCTTAATTCAAATTCAAATTCAAAATGATCTTTATTTCATAGGTAAGCATTATTACACTTGAAATCGTCACAATGGTTAAACTCTACCACTCATTCGTAAAGCAAATTCCCCTGAGAAGAATGAGCAAGAAACTCTAGGGGTTGCTCTTTGTAAATAACATTTACAATATACTTTTTTTTTATTTGAAACACCAGAGATCGAGACTACCTCCATGAGCTAAACGGGTTACTACCACGGATTTTTGTCATCTAAGTACGCAGAAGTTGTATAATAACCTTTAGTATAAAGTTTTTGTTTCACTATAGTTTTAAACCTCGTGAAAGGCAAATTTTGTATATCAACCGGAATCTTGTTACAGAAGCCTACACATTGCCCCTTAAATGATTTTTTGACTTTGTGAAGACGACTATCAAGAAAAGCTAGTTTATTTTTATTCCTCGTATTAATGTTATGTCTGTCACTATTTTTCATAAAGAAATTACTATTTCTTTTAACATAAATTACGTTTTCATAAATGTACTGTGAGGTTAGTGTAAGAATGTCAATTTCCTTAAAGGATATTGATCAATAACCAACTGTTTATTTATACCGGTCGAATAATCGGCACAAATCCTAATTGACCCATTACGCTTTAAAACAGGCACGATCGGTGACGCATACCGTGCGTAGTCAACCGGTTTTAAAACGCCTAACGCCAACAGTCGGTCAATCTCTTTATCTAATTTGTCCCTCAGAGCGAAGGCTGTTGGCCGAGCTCGAATAAATGCAGGTTTTGCGTTTTCTTTTAATTGGAAACTCATTTTGTATTTGTTAAATAGTCCAAGATTGTCCGAAAACACAGCCAAATATTGAGGTTGTAACTGCATTAACGCACTATCTTCATCCGTTTGTTTACGATGCCGTACAGGCAATAATTCTAACTTAAATAATGAACCTATAATGAATAAAAAACCTAAGCCGTCTCGCACAACGTAAACACTAAGTGAGTGAGAATGGTCTGCATAATAAACGGGTAGTAGTAGTACTACCCCTAAGCAGACAATTTTACCTCCCGTATACGAAAACAAACGTTTTTTAGTTACCAACAATGGCACTTGACTAAAATATCTTTTGTATGTGTCTTCGGAGATCGCAGTAACGGCCGACCCGCTATCAATTTCAAATTTTAATTGAACCCCCGATATTGATACCGTTTCTGTTATCGGTTCTCCTTTCATTGAACGAATATTAAAACACTCACCGTCATCGTCATCGCCCTCGTCCACAGCACCCGATTCCACGTAGTTAATTTTTTTACACGCACGGCGTTCCGCGTCGGCGCAATTCTGGACAGCTGATCATGGATCGGCGCGGGTTGTACGGCAGCGGCGCCGGCGCGTGCGCTGCTTACGCTCTCTGCCAACTCGACCGCCTTGGCCAGAGTCGAGTCCTTAAGGTCGTGTACGAAGAGCTTGTCCTTCTCGGGCCCCGACACGAATGCCCATAATGAATCGATTCCGGAGTGCTTCCTCCACGTTGCCAAACTCACAATGCGCCTTCAGTCCACGGAGTCTCGCGGCCCACTGAGCGTACGTTTCTCCTTGTTGCTACGTAGACGCATAGAACTTGTACCGCTCACCGAATCCACAGCGCTTCGGAGTGAGTGACTGTGAGGATATCGTCGTAGGGCACTTTTAGCTTAGGCAGCGCGGATCCACCGTCAGTTTGTGCGTGCTACACTGAGTGCGCTAAGCAGGATCTCTCGTCTCTTCGTTCCCGCGGGATCGGTTTTCTGGTCGATGTCATTTGCAATGAACCACTGCGATATCCGGCACTTGTATGTTTCCCAAGTTTGGACATTGTGGTCAAACGCCGACAGGAGACAGAAAATTGAACCAGACTCTTTTTTATAACGATGGGTAGTCGTCGCCACCGATAGATACGTAAGAAGGAGGAACGAGTGAAACTACTGCTTGCTATTAGCGTACTGGCGTGTATTCAAATAGCAACATTACACATAGGGATGCGCTTACGCACACATACATAATAGGTAGATAGTTAATTACAATTTAACTAATCATTATTTAATCAAACAATACAACATAATACGGATCAATCTAATTTTCACTCGCATATCTCGCGACAAATTTTCTAAGTTGCTACGAGTTGGTAGGCAGAGTACTCACCTGTGGAGAAACATTAGTCTGTCAGGCCGTGACAAATATACCTTAGTGAAGACCGGAGCGGCATTAATGCGCGGCGGCGGCGCGGCGTTGGTTTAGTAGTAGGTGCGTGGTGGCTAGAGATGGGAAATACTGCTTATTTTTTTAAACGTTTAAACGTTATGCTTTTTGAAAAAAGCGTGCTTTTTTAAACGCAAGTGACAACTTAAACGCTTTTTAGTTTGAACGTTCAAGCGCATAAACTTTTATGTTGAAAAAGCTTGCAACGTTATTGTGTTTATAGCGAAACGCAAGAGTAGACCACTAAAGGTTTTAAGATAAGTAAGTTTTTCTGTAAAAAACGAGTTTTAACGAGTTTTTTATTTAAGACATAACATTATTATATTAACATTTTGTTCATTGGCGTTTAAAAACATAGGTTGTTTAACTTTTGTAGTTGTTAACCGTTGCAATGGAAAAAACTGCTTATTTTATTAAAGTTAAAATGTACGTTTCAAAAGCGTGCTTGTAAAAACGCTTTTCACTTAAATGCTTTTTAGTTTGACGCTTAAAAAGTCGTTTAGAAAAATATTGAAGCGCATAGACTTTATGTTTAAAACAGCTTGCAACGTTATGTTGAATTAATTTATCGAGTTCTTAGGTTTTCGCGATTGTTACACATAGGAAATGAAACTACATATTTTTCCGGATTTAAATCGCGTATATTTGTTTTTTCAAACAAACCTGAATTAATGAATTAATTATTATATAATTGAATTAATTTGTTTAAGAAACATAGATGGCGCTACTTGAAACTTAGGCTCGTTGTAACAAAGAAATTGTTGAGTATCTATAGAACTGACTAGTGACCAACGCTTACGCTTAAAATGAAAAGCGTGCTTATGCGCTTATTTTAAAAAGCAGACTTTTTAAGTGCTTTTCGTTTAAACGCCCACCTCTAGTGGTGGCCTCGTCCTTCAACTCCGATCGTCACAAACAGTAAATTTTGTAAATGTTTAAAATTTCCACCTAGGTACAAAACGTCTGCTAGAAACAACCTGTTGAAACTCTGTTAGTACCAACATTTACATACAAACTGACTACGATCAGTAAAGCGCCGCGATAGTATTGTTTAGGTTTTCATTTTGGATATTTTTCTCAAACCGGGACTGAAATTCTTATGACATCATTTATGTAAACAAATATTGAACGCTCGATTATTTTACTTAAATAGCGCGTACTTAGTGCGCACACCTTACATGATAAAATATTCGGGCGGGAAGTTATTTTTAATTTGCTGCATCAATATTGATTCATTAAAATGGAAGTATTACTAGCTACGGTTGCTGCTCTACGAACCCGGTAATGTGTGAACTGTGGGAATAGCTGCGCTTGTGTCGAATACTTTTTTCATACAACACAACGCCCTCCCTCCGCAACCAATTAATAAACTAAATTACACAAACGCAACGACAATCGCAACCTCCACCAACACCACAAAAAACCAAAATTGGTATGATTGAACCTTAAGTCTTGCAGAGTAGCGATAGCTTGCTTCCATTTTGTATTAATACGGATTTCCGCAAATAAACGTCTCAATAATATACATCGCCTGAATAAATTGTCTCAATATTCGTCTTGTGGCAATACGTAGACAGCTTTATGCCGCTAGGTTAAGCAACTAACCCAAGGAGCACACTTTACACTCCTTAAAACTGTTATATCTATAAACAGTCTTAATATTGTATAGATTTAGATAATAGTTCTCTATAAATGGTTTTAGAAAAAAGAAATTGATCTTATAGACTTATTTCACTCAAGTCCAAATTTTAAAACCTTCTTTATTAAGAAGTTTTGTATTCCAAATTCCAGTTGTTTGGTATTCCAAACAACTTAATTAAGTGTAATCTCTCTTAAGATTTACTATTATGGTCCTTATTTTAAGTTCATCTGTAGAACAACTGATTATTTTTAGTAAAATTGTTCTATACACATCCAGTAAAGTCTATTAATATTCTAAAAACTAGTGTTCTTAAGTTTATTCTAGATATATTTCATTTATAGATTTTCTGTAGTGTTTGTACTTATGACAAACACTTTATAGAGCGTCTTCAGTAGATTTTATTGAAAAAATAATACAATTATGGTTTTTACTCTATTGGACGTTGTAAGTGCGCGTTCCCACTATATTGTCACGTTTTATTATCGTTGGACGACTGTCGTGTCTAGCCTGTTCCCATATCACGACCATCTGTCGTGGACGATTTTTTATCGTTGAAGGACTGTCGTGACTAGCTGTTCCCACTAGATCGTGACAATTTATCGTATCGTATAGAGTTGAGGGCAGGGAGCAGAATACGTGCGGACAGCGATAAATAAAACGTGACGACAATAGGAGCTGGACAATCTGTCGTCACGTTTTTATCGTGACTTTTTTTATCGTCTGACGACTGGAGTTATAGTTGTTCCCACTGTGACGACAGTTTGTCGTTGTAACGATAAAAAATCGTGGACGACAGTTAATCGTGTCTGCTATATGTGAACAACTTCATTTAAATATACAAGCCATGACACTGTAAACTGCACGAGAATCTGTCCTCACGACATAGTGGGAACGTGCCCTAAGAGTTCATGCAAAATGTATAAAGTAAAGAATATTAAAAGATCTGGTGGAGGTGGTGAGCCTTCGATATTAAGTCACATCATTCGATACAATCAGCGTTACCTATGCCAATTGTTCAAAATCCCCAAAAATCACGGTAAAACTCCCAAATTTGGGGAGAGCAAAGTTCATATTCCCCACAAATTCCCCACATATCGAGTTATCATTCTTTATTTGAAATACATCGCTCAAAAATATTATAAAGAATTAAGAAACTCAAAATGTAATAATCTATTACGTTTGCTGTGAATGCAAACAGAATGTAAAATGTAAAACTAATTATAAAATTAGATGACCTTAAATCGTTTATTTATTTTAATTAGATTCAACATTAATCTCTAATCAAACTTTGAAAAAAAAAAACATTTTTCTTATTTTTCTTTGCCTTACAAAATTGAGTAAATCGATTATTTGTTGTGCATTTGGTGACACTATGTTAATGTTAGAAATAATCAATGAGTTTCGACCTATATTTAATATTCAAAGTTGACGAGTCGTAAGTAGTGGTGTGGAAGTACCAACTGCTCGGCGTTGATTATCAATAGCTGATTTCGTTTTGCTTGTACCGGGGACCAGCCTAAACGGGAGAAAGAATCGCGAACTCAACACGCACCAACTGGTAATTTTATAATTCAGAACCAAGTGTTCTAATAATAATTCTATTTAAGGAGCTTGTTAATAATACGAGAGATGTGCGATGTTGAAAAACACGTCGATATAGTACATCATAGAGTTCCTAACAGTAACGATCAAACTAGCGATGCACCAGCAATTGCTAGATTAAACAAAGTGATAAAATGTTAGAATCCCCACATTTTCCTAACATACCGCCAATCCCCACAAAATTCCCAATCTAGTTGAAATTTCCCACAATTTGGGAAATTCCCCACAAATTGGCAACACTGGATACAATAGTCGTAATTCGCGCGCGAGCTGGTTATTGTTTGTTGAGAAATAAATAAACATTGTGAAGTAATTCCGTGTTCTGAAATGAAAACAACAATTTAAATGAGCGCGTAAACTACTGTACTTCAATGTTGTGCCATCTGTCAATAAAATACAGTGAAATCATTGTGTGAAATGTGGTTGACGTGAAGAAATAACCTCAATTTTGTAATGAAAATTTTATTTCTTCCAACATAAGTTAGGTATGTCATTAAAATATTCGTTGTATTTATATGATAGGGAATTTATCCACCGTTCTAGTCATATATAACACATTCCATATACAGAATAAGGTTTTTTTGCGACAAATTGAATTTTTGAAATTGCTTATTTGACCTAGTGTTTTGAAAAGTTTTTTATTGCATAATACGCTCACCATTCACTATAACTTTTATAAAGGTTTTGTAATACTGTCAAAAGAAAAAATCGCTTAGAAACATCGCGTTTTGTAGACAATTATAAAAGCTTCATAAGAGTGACTATTCTTCTACAAGATCAACTACACTAAAGCAAGTAAAAATAATCCTTTCGTATTATAAAGTTTTTCTATAGATAAAACTACAGACAAAATGCTGTGCAAAATGCCAACTGTGTTTTAAAAAAAGCTTTAAATTTTTATCGCCATATTTTATATCATATTTTTATTTTTAAAGAATGACTATAAAGGAGCAGAGAAAATTTCGTTTCTTTAAAAAACGTAAATCTAAATTGAAATTAGCTTGAAGAAGCTTAGAACTTCTTGGAAATGGTTTGTTTTGTG